AATAGTTGATGTTTGATTGTCACAAAATTTAGAAAATGGGGGAAATTAAAATTCGCAGGATTTAGAACTTCCCATGGATTATGGGAAATCAATTAACAACTCCCCCCTAAATAAGTCTACATCCTGTGATTATTAGGGGACAAAAAAACATATCTTCTTTGTGCTAAACCATTTCGGCCGTATTTCCTCCTCCATTTTTCTACTCCGTATATTTTCTTTGGTAGGTTATGCAATTTCTATCTCCTTAATTGGATTGCAGATGTGCAAAAGTTAAACTTTTTTTTTTTAGTTGTTGTTACCATTCTCAAATACAATCTTCATCATTTGTGTAGATATTAAATGCAGGCTTGTAGATCAATATAGTCACAGACGAAGTAGATTTTAATTTTGGTAAAAGATGTATTGATGAATATGATGATATTAGTTCATTGATAGTGAGTTCAAGAAATCCTATGATTTATTTTTTTTTTTTTTTTTTGAATTGAATGAGTTTATACTCTTATGCTTTAATGTGAATAATGTTTGATCTTTTTTTTTTTTTAAATCAATTTAAAAATATATCTTTAATTGAGTTATATATATATATATATATATATATATATATATATATATATATATATATTATTTGTTATTAAAAAAATTATAAATATTGAGAAAGTAGCTAATTACAAGTGAAGATCGAAATCAAATAAAGCTCATGAAATTACTTCACGGGAAGTTTGAGTTCCTAAATGTCAACTAAACATCCCAAACTCATTTCCTAGGGATTTTATAAGGGAAGCGAATTCCCATGAATTGTAATTTCTCACTAGGATTTAATTGGGGGGTGTTAAACATCGCCATCAATTTTTATCACATTCGCCAACATTTAAGATGAATGGACATGGACATCAATACCCTTACATACCCAATAACCCATCTTCTTCTTTCTCTTTTTTTTTTTCTATCTCATCACTCATAAGGACCACAACCACCATTTCCCAACCACCACCAACCACAATAGCGGTTGTATGTCGGAGGTGAAGGGAAGCGGTAACCGTACATCGGAGGTGGAAGGGTAGCAACGACGACGATCGGAGTTGATGAGCTGGCATTACGGTACGTGGCCGACAAAATCAATTCGTCACCTCCAATTTTTTTTAAAAAAATCTTCGGCGCTCACCACCTTGGTCACTCGGGATGGTAACCGGTTTGAGACACCGGTTACTATGGTCAACCGCCACTGTGACCACATTAGTTTATAAGAATAACACTTATTTCGGTAACCGGTTTCAAGCGGCGGTTGCCCAAGGTAACCGGCATAAAAAATTGGTGCCTGGTAATCAGTTTCCAACGCCAGTTGACCACGGTAACTGGCGGTAAAAACCGGTTATCATGCCCAGTGATTGGTTTCAACGCCGGTTAGTTTGGTTGCAAAAAAAAAAAAAAAACAAATTAAAAAAAAAAATCCACCACTTTTCCGCCGGCGAGGTAAGGTGGTTGGTTGTCGTTGAGATGGATTTGGTGGGTCGCTAGCGAGTGGGAGGTGGTCGTTGTCGGTCGAAAGGGGTGGTGGGTCGCCGGAAAGGATTTGGGTGGTAAAGTAATAAGGGCATGATTGTCCATTCACGCCAAATGTTGACGGTGGTGATAAATTTTGTCGGCGGTGTTTAGCAATCCACATCAAATTCCCATGGCAACCAAACGAGCCCTTAATATTCACGTACAAAATGACATGCTCCGTTTTAAATTATTTGCCACGATTTTACAAAAAATATGAGTAGAAAATGTTTAATCGTTGCAATTAATATAAAATAGAAGTAGTATTTTACAATGAAATAAATATAAATTAAGTAATTAAGTATAATTCAAAGAATATTTACTCTGTTTTTTTACTTGCAAAACTTTGACTTTTATACTTTGCATGTATACTCCATTTTGACAAAAGGGTATACATAGTAAATTGGTTCTTTGTTAAATTTAATATTATCAAATTTTTATAATTTTTACATATCGGCAATAATACAAGATGGTAGTACTACCTCCATTACATATTATTGCAACTTTGAGTATTATTTGTGAGATAAAATATTTCAAAATTGTAACTAATATGCAATTGAGGTAGTATTTGAAATAACACATTGACAAACATGAAATAAGAAGTGTTGTGTAGTAAGTAAATAAAACCGATGGATGAGGTATAAAGTAAAAGAACATTATAATATTATTTAAATTTAAAATCATTTTGGGGATAACATATATATGTTCTCTAAGATATGAATAATATGATGCCACTCGGAGGAAGAATTATTATAGGATTGTGCGGCATTTGCAAATGTCTCACAAATATTAAAAAGAAATTCAATCACATGCAACAGAGAGAAAGAAAGAGAGGAAAAATGGTGAAATTTACATAGTACACAAGGGTGTACCATGCTCATGGTACATCTTGCTGAAAATAACAGTATTTTTCGACTTTTAATCAATAAAAAAAATCAAAATAATTCTCTCCTAATTTAAGGAATTTGTTAGTTATTTTCCACATTAATTTTTCAGAATTAGATTTTATATTTTTGGTGAGATATAATTACAATTTTGAAATACAGAGAAAATTATAGAGAGAAATTAAAATGGCCCGAAGTGTTGACCCGATACCCGACCCGACCCGATTATCTGTTGACCCGAACTCAACCCGAAACCCGAAATGACCCGACCCGACCCGAACTTGATCCGATAAATTTTTAACCCGAAATGACCCGACCCATACCCGACTTGAATGACCCATTTGCCAGGTTTAGGTTAGGTGGGTAGGGCTAGTTCGTGGGTAAGGCGACCGAATTATAGCAGGGGATTGGGTGTTCGGAAAAGGGAGGAATAAGGGAACGGAGTGCAGGGAAGGGTGGTTGGAATGAGGAAAGGGTGCGGTGAGAGTGGTTGAGCGGCACCGGCGTTGGCTGGTGGGTTGGTTTTGGGGTTTGGGTCTAGTGGGGATGGTGGTTCTAGGGTTTGGGTTTGGGTGGTGGTGGGGATGGTGGTGGCTGAATTGGGTTTGGGTTTTTAAATTTTTTTTTTTTGACCAGTTATGTAATGACACGTGTAAATTAATCTTTTTTAAAAAAAAAATTACCTATTTAACCGGTTTCTGGTAAAATAGGACCATTAAAAAAGAATGGGGGGTAAAGGTTGGATTATTAAATAATATCTCAAAGGTGGGATCATTAAAAACGAATGGCCCAAACGTGGGATTATTCCCATGAATTTTTCCTAATTATAATAAATGTTCTTTTCATCATTTATTTGATCTATATTCATTTTGTTAATTATAATGGAATATTCTCTTTAAATCTGATTAATATGTTCTTTGAATCTAAATTATATGTTCTTTACAATACAAACTATGTTCTTTAAGGTATAATGTTCTTTTTATTTGAATAATATGTTCTTCTATGTTTATGTTTTTTGTTTTAACTCTTATGTCCTTTTGGGTTTAATTTCTAAGATGTTTTACTCCTTATATATTTTTTCTGTTGTTACATCACTTATGTTCTTTATTTTATCCCTAATGTTCTTTGATTTTGGTTCATATGTTCTTTGAGGGATTGAGTGATGCACATTTTTTTGGTATAGCATATGTCATTTTAAAATTAGTTTGTAAAGTCATTTTTAATTATTAGTGTATTCATCTTAAATATTATTTATTAATTCAATATTTTTCTTTATTAATTAACATTTAATAATTGTGAATTTTTTTAATTCAAGATCATGAAGATTGACGAGATATTCTTTTTGGACATCATCTATTGATGATTGATTTTTAGATCCAAAGAACATCCATAATATTAATAAAGAACATGAAGAAACTGTAATAACATTGTTTGAATTATCCCGTTTAAATTTAACTAGTATGGCGTAAGGTCTAAATTTAAAGAACATTTTCATTATAAGCAATGAACATTTTATGACAATCAAAGTACATTACAATTACAATAAAAAAACATGGACATTTAAAATATTTTATTAAAAGATCTAATAAAGATTATTATATATTATAATGGTAGACATATGGAATACAAATAGTATTAATAATTTATTATATGTTACAAACAAATATAAAGTATATTATGTATTCTAATAAAGAACATTATAAAATATGTAAAGAACACAATAATTACACATAATCATAATTACACAAAAATATAAGTATATCATGTATTCATGGTTACTCAGTTGGTTACACATGTTCTTTCATGCACAAATATTTTCAAACTTTGGTGAAAAAAATATGAATGATGTTTTTAGAAAAAATTTTATAGAGAAGGAATGAAATATGTTGTAGTATTTTGGATAATAAAATTTTGGAAATAAAATTTGAATTTTGAAATTTGAAATTATCAAAAAATATATCTTGAATTATTTTGGGAAAAAATAATTTTAGAGAAAGAAAATTATTCTTAAAAACTGAATTTTTGTAAAAAGATAAGACAATAAAAGCGGGATAAATATCATTTAATAACTAATTTTCCTAGTTTAAAGGAAATTACTAATACATTCTCGTGTTCTTTCAGTTATAAGGCTATGTTCTTTGTCTTATAAACTAATGTTCTTTCCGCCTTTTCTACTTGTTTTTAGGCTTGCGTTTCATGTTCTTTTAGTTGCATTTTAAAACAGGTGTACCATGCTGGGTGTAGGAACCACACATTGAAAAAATGGTGTGGAGATCACGAATTTTGTCTGTTTGTATTTACATGCAAAATGGTGAAAAAAAAAATATGGAGACCACATTCTAACTGTACCATTGGAAGCATAAAAAATAAAATAGAAATTTTTTTAAAAACTATTGAGAGTGTATTAATATAATTAAATATCTAGTGGTATTATTTGATCACCCAATGATATATTATTCTAAATTATGCACGTGAGACAAATATTTTGCGGCTCACCATTGGCCGTTTGGAACCGCCTCATACCACTCAGATCACAAGTATATCATTTACTGATTCAACTCTCTACAATCAAATGGTAGGAGGATATAAGACCTTGACCTTGTATATATAAGTCTCATTACCTATAGTAGGATTGGGTAGACCAAAATGGAACCAAATAATAATCCTTCAAACGAGGAGGCCAAAGAGCTATTAGAAGCAGTAACACATATATCCAACCATAATATAGCTTACCTAAATTCCATGGCCTTAAAATGTGCCGTTGAACTAGGCATCCCCGAAGCCATTCACAAACACGGCAAACCCATAACCATCGACGAGCTCGCTCGTGCTCTTTTAATCCATCCCTCCAAGGCTCCGTCCTTACATCAATTGATGCGTCTTCTTGTTCACTCCAAATTCTTCGCAACTAAAACTTTAACCAATAATAATAATGGAGACGAAACATTATTATTTGATCTTACACTAAACTCACAACTTCTTTTGAAAGATCATCCTTTAACTCAAGCACCCTTAACTCTTATGGGAGCCGATCTACTAGTAGCTAACCCGGCACATAATTTTGCTACGTGGTTTCAAAATCAAGATGTTAAAACTTTTGAGTCTCCTTTTTATTTTACTTATGGAAGGCATTTATACGAAGGTGTGCCTAGTGATGATACAAAATTCAATGATTTGTTTCAACAAGCTATGAAAAGTGATTCTCAAATGATTGCTCGTGTGCTATTGACTAGTAACGAGTTCAAGGGCGTAATGCACGGTGTTGAGTCGTTAGTCGACGTTGGTGGAGGCGATGGAACTATGGCTAGTTCCATTGCCGTGGCCTATCCTGATGTCAAATGTACCGTGTTCGATCTACCAAACGTAGTCGAAGGGATACAAAGAAAGGAGAAGGTAGAAAACTTGACATATGTTGCAGGTGACATGTTTGAAGCCATTCCTCATGCTCAAGTCATCTTACTCAAGGTAAGTTAATTACACTAATACTTGTACTGTAATTATTATAAAGCAAATGAGATCTAATATTAAATACAAAATATGAAATTTAAATAAACAATATAGTCATAGGATATCTTATTTAATTCGCCCTTGATTTTTAGGTCCATGTAATATTGCACTGGTAAACATAATATTACCTACTTTTAATCGGGGCATTTATTTTATTACTAATTAATTTCTATTAAATTTACATTGTAGTGGATATTGCACAATTGGAGCGACGAGAATTGCATAAACGTGCTTAAGCGATGCAAAGAAGCAATTCCAAGTAGGGACAAAGGAGGCAAGTTGTTGATCATAGACATGGTGGTTGGGATTCCAAGTAACAATCTAAACCAATTTCTAGCAGATGTGAACATGATGTCTGTTTTGGGAGGAAAAGAAAGAACTGAACAACAATGGAAATATCTTTTCATCAATACCGGCTTTAGCGATGACTAAAATTTTACCAATTTTAGAGCCGAGATCTGTTATTGAAGTCTATCCTGCATAATTTCAATTATACTGATTTTAGGGCTAAGATCTGTTGTTAAAGTCTATCCTGTATGATTTCAATTATCCCGATATTAGTATTTTATATCATCTCTTTCCGTTAAGTTTTAATTACAATATTTTGATTTAAAATAAGAGCTGTCATGCAGAAATTTTGGATTTTTCTAGTAGATCTTAACAGGACACTGAAATTATTGCATATTTGCATTAGCAACAATTCCATTGGAGACCGTAATAGCTTTAGCATACTCCCTTTAATTTTCTTTAATTTTATTAATTAATTCCTTTTAATTGTAGTGTATATTGCACAATTGGACCCCCACGAGAATTGCATAAAGATGCTTAAACGATAATGTAAAGAAGCAATGCCAAGTAGGGACAAAGGCGGCAAGTTACTAATCATATGGTGGTTGGGTTTCCAAGTGAATTTAAACCAATTTCTAGCAGATGTGCTCATGATATCACTTTTTGGAGGAAAATAAAAAACTGAACAATAATAGAAATATCTTTTCACACGTTATTTTTTGCTGGTCACATTATTAGTTCAAGGTGTGGTCAGTGGTCATTGGTCAATTCACATATAAAGCATAGACACTTGGTTTTCAAGGGTCATCAATTAAAGTCTAAGCAATGTGTAATGGGTGGTGATTAAAGCCTTAAAGGACATAGTGATAATTTATTATATTTTCTTTTTAATTTTTATTTGTAAATAATCTAATCTAAAGATGCACGCAATTTAAATAGACAAGGGGGTGGTTGACTGGTGAGGTTGAGTTTTTTCTTTTTTTTTTTTTTTTTTTTTTTTTTGGTGAGATAAGTGTTTTTTAAAAATTGTTTTGAAAATAATTTAATTATTAGCAAAAAAAAAAACCTAAATATAGTTAAAGATTTAATAAAAGTTATGATTAATGTCATAAGTAACAAGTACGGAGTATCAATAATTCATGATTATCAAAGTAATAAGAGTTCTTACAATATATCCATAAAAGAAAAAAGTTAAAAATAGAGTGTTAATAAAGAGAATTTTTCAAACTTTTTAAAAAGATTATATTTACTTGATCCCTTTAAACTAGCATTTTTCTTTTTATAACTGTGTTGTACGTTATATTTTTAGAATTGCAATAAATGTCATCCTTGCAAAAATATTAGTGAAAGCAAAAAAAGTTAATTAATTACTCCCTATACAGAGTAATATATTTGCAACATGTCCAACTGACACAAGTAAGGTAAGAAACGACAGTTTTCTCAGAGAATTGACGACGTTTTCAATGTCGTTAACAAAGTTTAAGTCTTAAGAGCATAGTCAATGGATGCCCAAGCAAATGGTGGTCATCATATTTTTTTTATCAATTTCTCTCTCTTTCACTTCATTCATGCATGTCTAACTCCCATACTCACTTATGCCCATTCACTCCCATTGTTTGCCCTTCAATTTTGTGGGTATTGATTTTCTCATTCCTACTTTTACTCTATCCCACCACTACAATTAGCATCATATTTTTTTAACAATTTCTCTTTCTTCCACCTCATTCATGCATGCCCAACTTCCATGCCCACTTATGCCCATGCACTCCCATTGGTTGCCCTCCAATTTTGTGGGCATTAATTTTCTCATTCCTACTTTTACTCTACCCCACCACTACAATTAGCATCATATTTTTTTTTATCAATTTCTCTCTCTTCCACCTCATTCATGCATGCCCAACTCCCATACTCACTTATGCTTATTCACTCCCATTGGTTGCCCTCCAATTTTGTGGGCAAGCCCAACTCCTATAACCCACTTATGCCCATTCACTCCTATTGGTTGCCCTTCAATTTTGTGGGCATTGATTTTCTCATTCGTACTTTTACTCTACCCCACCACTACAATTAGCATCATATTCTTTTTAACAATTTTTCTTTCTTCCACCTCATTCATGCATGCCCAACTCCCATGCCCGCTTATGCCCATGCACTCCCATTGGTTGCCCTTCAATTTTGTGGGCATTAATTTTTTCATTCCTACTTTTACTTTACCCTACCACTACAATTAGCATCATATTTTTTTTTTATCAATTTCTCTCTCTTCCACCTCATTCATGCATGCCCAACTCCCATACCCACTTATGCCCATTCACTCCCATTGGTTGCCCTTCAATTTTGTGGGCATTGATTTTCTCATTCCTACTTTTACTCTACCCCACCACTACAATTAGCATCATATTTTTTTTAACAATTTCTCTTTCTTCCACCTCATTTATGCATGTCCAACTCCCATGTCCACTTATGCCCATGCACTCCCATTGGTTGCCCTCCAATTTTGTTGGCATTGATTTTCTCATTCCTACTTTTACTCTACCCCACCACTACAATTAGTAAGGGTTTGTTTGGCATCGCTGTGGTGTCTGTTTTTTGGTTTATAGTTTTTCAAAATCATATGATATATCACAACAAGAATTAAGCTTATTTCTGACGGAAATTATCTGTCGGAAAATAGTAAATTTCCGTCGGAAATGGTCATTTCCGACGGAATTCCGCCGAAAAATGTCTGTCGGAAAACCCTTCGTCAGAAAAAAGGTCGTTTCCGACAGACATGTCGATTCCGATGGAATTTTCGACGGAAAAAAAGGCGTAGGAGCTTGGTGGCTGGGAGATGAAAATGTCCGTCGGAAATGTCCGACGGATTATTTCCGTCGGAAAATTTGTTTTTTTTTTTTTTTTTTTTGCTTCCACTTCCCCTCTGTATATTGACCTGTTCTTCGCTACTGCAATCTGTTTAAAACAAAATAAAATTTCATTTGAAAATAAATCAATCAATATAAATTAATAATTATAATTATTATATTCAGTTTGGATAAATAACCTACATTGTATCTCAAATTATGTACAATACGTGAAAAGAAACAAAAAGCTACACGACGGGAAAAGAAGCCGGGCCTCCCCCACAACCGGGGTCGTCGTCCCATGGGTCTCGCGGCTGCGGCGGCATCGTCGTGGAACATGTGCATGGAGTGTTGAGTCCGATCATGCGAGTCGTCCATCATCTCTTTGTTCCTCCGCTCAAGTTTCGCCATCTGAGCCTGCACTTGAGCCTGTACCTGGGCCTGCACTTGAGCCTGTACCTGGGCCTGCATTTGAGCTTGCACTCGAGCCTCGATCTCAGCCACAACAGACGACGGCGGGTGGTACTGCTGAGAGGACCCAGATCCTCGGGACTGGGATTGATAGTACAACTCAACACCTCGACCAAGCCCCCTTACTCGGCCTTTCTTGTTACGCCCGCCTACTGTATCCAAGTACAGTTCATCCTGGATTTTGGAAGACTCCTGATTGCTTGCTTCCTCAACCATTTTATGATATGTTTCCTGCTGAAAATTGACGAGATATATTAAGAAATAATGATGTTTCTAGAGAAAAGAGGCAAAAATAAAGGGTTCTACCTTGCCTATTTTTCACATTTCTTATCAAACTAACCTATAACTTGCACTAACATACCAATATAACCTAGTTACAAGTGTTCATGCATTGAAAACGAACCTTAGAAGCATTTCACTAAGTTTTGGGACGATATTCGTGATTTTTAAGGGGAAAGGGGCCAAAAAGGGTTCTACCTTGCCTACTTTCACATTTCTTATCAAACTAACCTATAACTTGCACTAACATACCAATATAGCCTAGTTACAAGTGTTCATGCATTGAAAACGAACCTTAGAAGTATTTCACTAAGTTTTGGGACGATATTCGTGCTTTTCAAGGGAAAAGGGGCCAAAAAGGGTTCTACCTTGCCTATTTTTCACATTTCTTATCAAACTAACCTATAACTTGCACTAACATACCAATATAGCCTAGTTACAAGTGTTCATGCATTGAAAACGAACCTTAGAAGCATTTCACTAAGTTTTGGGACGATATTCGTGATTTTTAAGGGGAAAGGGGCCAAAAAGGGTTCTACCTTGCCTACTTTTCACATTTCTTATCAAAATAACCTATAACTTGCACTAACATACCAATATAGCCTAGTTACAAGTGTTCATATATTGAAAACGAACCTTAGAAGCATTTCACTAAGTTTTGGAACAATATTCGTGATTTTCAAGGGGAAAGGGGCCAAAAAGGGTTCTACCTTGCCTATTTTTCACATTTCTTATCAAACTAACCTATAACTTGTACTAACATACCAATATAGCCTAGTTACAAGTGTTCATGCATTAAAAACGAACCTTAGAAGTATTTCACTAAGTTTTGGGACGATATTCGTGATTTTCAAGGGAAAAGGGGCCAAAAAGGGTTCTACCTTGCCTATTTTTCACATTTCTTACCAAACTAACCTATAACTTGCACTAACATACCAATATAGCCTAGTTACAAGTGTTCATGCATTGAAAATGAACCTTAGAAGCATTTCACTAAGTTTTGGGACGATATTTGTGATTTTAAGGGGAAAGGGGCCAAAAAGGGTTCTACCTTGCCTATTTTTCACATTTCTTATCAAACTAACCTATAAATTGCACTAACATACCAATATAGCCTAGTTACAAGTGTTCATGCATTGAAAACGAACCTTAGAAGCATTTCACTAAGTTTTGGGACGATATTCGTGATTTCAAGGGAAAAGGGGCAAAAAAGGGTTCTACCTCGCCTATTTTTCACATTTCTTATCAAACTAGCCTATAACTTGCACTAACATATCAATATAGCTTAGTTATAAGTGCTCATGCATTGAAAACGAACCTATAAGAATTATTTCACTAAGTTTTGGGACGATATTCGTGATTTTACCAACATAGCCTAGTTACTGAATTTAAATTTTAGCGAAATTAAATTAATGAATTTCTTACCGCAATCTCCTTGTAATTTTTGTTTGCCGGAACCTTTCCTTTTCCCGGCACATCCTTGAAGTGCATTTTCAGGAACAGATCAGCAGCGGATGGCAGTTTCCCTTGGTTTTCCGCCGCCTTTGCACATAATCACAAATAAATCACATTAATATGTAAACTTAATTACTGCAAAACCTAAAACAACAATTCTCATATACTGACCATCCGTTTTGGATGCTGTACGGATGATACGGAACCCTGGAAGTGGGTTGCCTCCACTTCATTCTCTATGGAACCGCTTCTTCGGTTCAGCTTGTTCTGCGTGGACCGCTTCTTGTACATGCCATCAGATTCAGGAATCTCCATCATCTTCTTGTGCACTTCCTCTGACACCCAATACAGTCTCACACCTTTCATCTTCTTCGTGACGGTGTAAAACATGTCACGAAGGCGGGTACCGGGCCGAGCATTAAATGTCGATCGTACATGACTGTCCAGCTCTGGTGACCACGTAAAATGTAGCTGCAAAATTAAAACTCGTAAAATGTAACAACAAAATATTTTTCAAATAAAATAATACACAATTGTATTGGTACATACCCTGAACAAGTTCCACCAATGACTTTTTGTGGCATCGTAACCCTCTCCATAGTTCCTCCAAGGCGCCGTATAGTGCCCCTGGATCGAATCGAAGACGGCTTTCTTCATTATTTGGTCATCAAACCTGTTTCAGAACAACAAAAAGGACGTCAGTAGCTTTTGATAATTAGAAATATGAATCACGAAATGCATATAACATATGATCTAATATTTTTACCAGAGCGTGGTCGGGTCTAGGCGTGGCACTAGATCCCCTCGTGTGTGCTCTGACTGCCCTGAGCTCCGGGGCTGTGAGTAAGCAAATATGGTACCTGAGTGTCACCCAGACCCTGAACAGTCTCAGAGTCATCCTCAGCGGTCTCGGGGGCCTGCTGACTGTCTGCCACATGGTACGAGGGGTAAGGTTGAGATCTTCGCGTCTTCCTCCTCGAGCTATCTCCCTTTCTTCCTCCGGCCATGCTTCCCTACAAAACAGTTCAAGGGCATAACATACAGACATAAATAGGTTAACAATTACATTCCTCATATCAATCAATATTACTATTCATTACAATCATTTATTATAATCAATAATACTTTTCATTACAATCACTAAAGCTATTTATTACTATCACTACTGCTACAATGATCACTACTGTTATCATCAGTACTATCATCAAAAACAATAATGTCGTCCTCACCCTCGTCACTGCCCTCTTCGTTGTCACTTGAACCGACGCTTGATTCGTCTTCAGAAGGAGACATAATATCATCGTCCTCACCCTCGGAGACAACAAATGCATGACCATCGTCACCGTAGTCTGGGATATCAATTGGTGGGCAGAGTGTACTGCATTCCCGTGTTTATGTTCCTTGCAAGAACTCCAGGTCAACAAGAGCATCCACAACGGACCTTGCCTGCGTTTTAAACACAGCCCACCATTGAAACCGATCACTTTTGAGGCTCGGATATGGTGCATAATATACCTGACCAACTTGATAAGACAGCACGAATGGGTCATATTTAGGGTATTTCTTAGTATGATTCACGTCAACAAGCTTGTATTGTTCATGTATGTTCATACCCCTACCACAATCCATCCAACTACACTTAAACAAGATGGTCTTGTATTCACGGATCGCACCAGTGTAGACAACTTCAATAATGTCTTGTCACATGCCAAAATACTCTCCTCCATCTTGACTGGACACACACACACCATAATTGATCGTAGTCTTGCGTATGGAAATTGAAACTGCTAACAAATATTCGGCTCTCCAAGTGCGAACTTTCTTGAACGGACCCATAGCCAAAGCTTGCAACACATCAGATTTTGGTTTCTCTTCAGTTACCTATTAGTGTTAGATAAAATTAAAATACGTCATATTTGGATTATTAAAATTGAGCTGGATTGTACATACAAAAGTCAATAATTATCCTTTCCTATATTTGAGAGTGGTCTGACCTTGTCCCTAAACCAATTAAGGAACTGTGTTTCGAATGTCTCCCATACAGCTTCTCTACGCAAAGTAGGACGGGTGCTAAGAATATGGTCCTCAAACTTCCTGCTACGACAGCAAGAACTTGTTAATGACCGTGAAACTCAGTACATGTGATCATATGATGGAAACAATTTAGTTACTGTGGATTACCTTTCATATTCACCTAATATGCCACTGTTTGATAAAACAAATAAGTGTGCACGTTGAAATTCCTTTTCATCTAACCACCTCAATTTTCCCTCAGTTGACACACGACCGATGTCCTCCGTAAACAGTTCTGGGATGTCATTAGTGTCGAGGGAGGTGTCAACATCAGCATTCACATTCCGACCCAGATCTCGTGTTTTTGTGTCAACTGACGGCTGGAAGTAATTTGAGCAGAAATTTGATATCTCTTCAGTAAGGTAAGGGTTGCATATCGAACCTTCAACACGATCCTTGTTGCCAATTTTCCGTTTTATATGGTTCAGGAACCTGAAATTAAAGTATATTATGATTTTAAACGGTGAATTTGTGAATTGTGACTGCTCAACAACTAAATCAAGGGTTCACTACCTCTCGAATGGATACATCCATCGATACTGCACAGGTCCACCTAACTTTGACTCGTACGGTAAGTGAATGGGTAAATGCTCCATGGAGTTGAAGAATGCAGGTGGAAAAATCTTCTCCAGTTTGCAAAGGATCTCGGCAATGTTCTTTTCCAGCCGTTCCATGTCACTGACTGTGACTGTGTAGCAACACAAGTCTTTAAAGAATTGACTGATCTCTGTAATTGCATTCCAGACATGAACAAGAAGCAATTCTCTCAATTCGACAGGTAATAACCTCTCCATGAACACGTGACAATCATGACTTTTCATTCTGTGTATTCTACACGCCTGCAGATCCACACATCTGCTCAAATTGGAGGCGTAACCGTCAGGGAATCGCAGGTCACGAACCTACTCACACAAAACCTTCCTCTGACCCTTATTGAGGCAGAATGGGGCCTTTGGCATGACCTCATTCCCTCTGTCATCAGTCTGTAGATGAAGTTGAGGTCGCCTACAATATTTGGCAATGTCATTTCTGGCCGAAGGTGTGTCAGAAGTTTGTCTTCTCACATCCATTACAGTGTGGAATATATGATCAAAGAAGTTTTTTTCAATGTGCATGACATCTAAGTTGTTACGAATCAGCAAATGCTTCCAATACGGAAGCTCCCACAGGCAACTTTGCTTCAACCACCCTTTCTTTTCCTTTTTCAACTCTTGCAGTGATTCGGGCCCATCGGTGGCCCTCGGAAGGTCTTTCACACATTCCCAAAGTTCCGCCCCTGACATGATGTGCGGTGGTGAGCCTTTTTCAACTCTGTTTCTGCAAAATGCTGTTTTACTTTTTCGGAAAGGATGATCTGCAGGAAGAAATTGACGATGACAATCAAACCACGAAACTTTTCCGCCATGCTGTAACCAAAATGCCTTGCTTTTTTCCATGCAGTACGGGCAAGCCTTCTTACCAGCTGTGGACCATCCAGACAACTTACCATATGCAGGGAAGTCACTAATGGTCCATAGGATGGCTGCTCTTAAATTGAAATTTTGTTTCTTTGATATATCATAAGTACTTGCGTCAACTTCCCACAACTGTTTCAGCTCTTGTATCAGTGGTTGCATGTACATATCTAAATTTCCCTTCGGGTTTTGGGACCAGGGACTATCAGTGACAAGAACATGAACTGCCTTTTCATACACATTGAGGGAGGCAAATTGTATAGGGTTAAAATCACGGGCCAACAAGAGTAATGACCCCCGAACTTACCATGAGGAGCAAAACCATCTGTACACAGCCCTAGTCGAACATTCCGTGGATCCGAGGCAAACTCTGGGAAGCAGGTATCAAGCTGTCTCCAAGCTTCAGTGTCACTAGGGTGTGCCATCGTGCCTTTGACACGAGGATTATTTGCATGCCAACTCATTTCCTCTGAAATGTTCTTCGTTGCAAACATCCTTTGCAACCTAGATGTGATCGGGAAATAAAATAGCGCATTATTTGGAACTAAGCTGCCTTTAACAGTTCTTTTGTATTGATCACTGCCACACACTCTACATGTAGGAAGCTCAGCATCCTCTTTCCAAAACAACATACATCCCTTGGGGCATGCATGAATCTTTTCATGCGGCAGCTCCAACCCCTTAACAACCTTCTTAACATCGTAGAATGTCTCACCCAAACGGCTGTTGCCAGGGATCGCTTCTGTCAACAATGAAACGAACCCATCAACACACCTGTGCGGCAAATTGTACTCACACTTTAAGCTAGTAATTCTTGCCGCCACCTCCAAAACCAACATCGAACTCCCTTCATACAATGGATGTTCAGACGCCTTCAATAAATCAAGAAAACGCTTTGCTTCAGCGTTAGGCTCCTCCTCTACAGCTTCAGTACCCGATCGATCATAATTATGACCAACAGCATCCGTAACCATATCACGATATTCATTTGATTGGCCTTCTACTGAGGATTCAGGTAACCCTTCCCCTTGACACAACCACTCCCAATAACGAGGAGTGAATCCCTTGCTGTACAAATGAATTGTTACTGTGTCCGGATCCTGAAAACGTCTGTTATTGCATTAACACAAGGACACTTATATTCATTCTTTGCAGTCTCACGATGATCTTCGCAAAACTGTATGAATTCCTCCACCCCTTTCAAGAACTCAGGCTTAATAGAACGCCTATCCAATCTATCATACATCCAGCTCCGCTCTCTTCGTTTCATGATTCTAACTTCAACGGGTATATATCTAAGCGTATGATTATGAAAATTATTCATTTCAAACATTTTTAGAAGATTTAAACACTAAACTAACATATATACATTATACTAAACTAAACTAACATACATACATACATTATACTAAACTAAACTAACATACATTATACTAAACTAAACTAACATATATTATACTAAACTAAACTAAACTAACATACATTATACTAAACTAAACTAACATATATTATACTAAACTAAACTAAACTAACATACATTATACTAAACTAAACGAAAGTAAACTAACATACATACATTATACCAAACTAAACTAACATATATTATACTAAACTAAACTAAACTAAACTAAACTAAACTAAACTAAACTAAACTAACATACATACATTATACCAAACTAAACTAACATACATTATAGTAAACTAAACTAAACTAAACTAACGTACATTATACTAAACTAATAACATACATTATAATAATATAAACTAAACTAAACTAAACTAACATACATTATACTAAACTAATATACATTATACTAAACTAACATATACATTATACTAAATTAAACTAAACTAAACTAAACTAAACTGAACTAACATATACATTATACTAATAAAACTAAACTAATTAAACTAACATCAAAACATACTTAGCATATCAATAATCAACCTACATTATATTAAAAATTAAACTAATAAACTAACATAAACATTACATTAACATTAATATGAACATTACATATTAAAAATTAAACTAATAAATTAACATAAACATAAACATTAACATTAAAAAAACTAACGGCATTATTAATGTCGGGTTTTTAATTTCGGGTTTTTTGATTGTGGGTTGAGGGTGGTGAAGAATGGAGCAAAAACAATGAAGAAGAATGGAGCAAAGAATGAAGCGTGAAAAAAATTGAGAAATGAAGAACAATGAAGAAATGAAGCGCGAAAAACACGATGCACAACATTTAGATCCGAAAACCTTTCGACGGAATTTCCCGTCGGAAATTCGTCAGACAAAATGGTATCTTATGCACAGAAACACCATTTTCGACGGATTTTCCAACGGATTTCGGACGGAAAATTCCGTCGGAAAATGGTATCCAAGGTTCAACCTTTTTCCGACGGAATGATTCCGTCGGAAATGGCTGTCTCCGACGGATTCAATCCCTCGGAAATTTTCCGGCGGATTTTTCCGTCGGTAATTGCAGATATCCGTCAGAAATCCCCCAGTTTTCCGACGGACCCTTTTCCCTCGGAAAATATGCCTTTTTCGACGGAATTTTTCCGACGGACGTATTTTCCGTCGGAAATTTACTGCATTCTTGTAGTGAATATATATATTTCCCAATTTCTTCATGAGTTTGGGGGAAGCGATCTCACTAGGGTTACTCATAAGGTTAATCTCCACAATCCTATTAAAAAGACTAAGAGCACTACCGAAGGCCGGTCCTGGACCAACAATACCATAATTGTGAAGAAGCATAGCCTGAAGACCAGAAGACTGCAAAACGCGACGCAAGGAAAGCATAGTGCCGAACATCACCCACTGAACCCAGTCCACCATAAGCAAAAGGTAAGCTGGCAAGTCGCCATTGCCAATCACCAAAACCTAACCCCGAAGCAGTTACAATGCGCTCCAAAGAAGCTCGAAAAACCACATCAAAAGAATTCTGGGCCGCTTCAAAAAGACGAGGGGGACAAGTGCGCATAACAAAGTAGAGTTTGGAAACCCTAGTACACGCACGAAGAAGTAACAACTCACATTAGGGATCATCAAGCTTAGCAACAACATCCATTAGCACATTGATTTTCGACACTCTCTGCAAAACAAGCTCACCACAGAAAGAGGAATCCGCACTGACAGGACCACCAAGCAACTTAACACCATACACAGGACGAGCAATATCAGGAGGAAAGACACCTACGAGACGGCTACGAGGGTCCTCTGAGGGCCAGAAAACTTCCGTTTTCTCAACGTTGACATGGAGGACGAGACGAAGTCCCTCCGCCAAAATCAACTCCATAACCTTACCTACTACTAAGGTGTCACCAATAATAGTGTCGTCATCCAAATACCAAGCCTGCAAGCATAAGTCAAAAGAATCCTTGATTCGCACACCAACGGATGAAGAACCAAAGCAAAAAGCAAGGGTCAAGAGGATCACCCTGCTGCACTCCTTGACATGACCATAAGGTATGCTCCCCATAAAACAACTTGGCAGGAGAAGAGTAACAGAATTCAACCCAACGCGAGAGAGCTGGACAACGGAGACGAGCCTCACGCAACATAGCTGAACGGTCAACCAAATTAAAGGCATTCTAAAAATCCACCAGCAATATAGAAAGGCCAACATCACCACCACGAGCCTCTACCAAACGATTAACAACATGAAGAATAGCCTCACCACCCGCCGGCACCCCAACACCAAACTGAAGACCTCCTAAATAGCTTCCCAAATGTGGACCAATTAAAGCAGCGCCAACCTTTGAAACTAGACGCCCTTAAACGGTACCCACAGTAATAGGCCAAATACCACCACTAGGCTTAACAAGTGGCGTGAGAGGAACACTAGCAATAATTCTCCCAACTCAGCAGGACATTTCCCAACGAGAAAGAGAATAACCACTTACTTAATAGAGTCCACCAACTCACCTGAAATAGCAATTGCAGCACCACTCAAGCAATTCATAAGGTGTTGAGCACGCAAGCCCTCTTTATCGCATGACGTACCACGCGGAAACCCCTAACCTGGTCCAAAACAACAGCAGAAGTAGCAATAAGGTGATTATCAACTGGAATATCCGGTAAGATAAGAGCCGGAAAGGAATGGTGCTTAGCTTGTAATCATGCAAGAGAAGTATCATTGTAAGGGGCAAGACCAGAAGACAAAAGAACCATAACCGCAGCAGTGTAATGTCCGTCACAAATCTTTCTCTTACACTACTTAATATTACGCTCAGAAAAATCATGTTCCTCATCAGCAACCAATAAAGGTGGAGACATATCGGCCAACGTGTCCCGCACAAGCTGCACAGAACCACCAGGCTCACACCAAGAACGAATAGCAGTGGAGATACTCTCTTCCTGCCGCTGATGCCTAATACCCGAAGAACACTCACAATTACTCCGTGAAGAAAAGGATTTAAGGACATAAAGAGGCAACACAAGAAATTGAACCTAGCAAAAGATGTCATCAGGCTTGCAAATCACCTTATCAAGCGTTCCTTTGAGAACCCTAGAAAAACCCAAGCGACACTTAGGAGGGATAGTTTTTACAGAACGAAACCGCTTTGATAGCAAACTATCAAGGAGAGCAACTTATAAAGCAAAATGAGGCTCATAAGGCGCACTAGGAACAAGATCAGATACCTATGGAGAAGGACCCTGTGGTTTAGGAAACCATAAAGAACAAACCAAACAACACCATCCCCCGAATCAGGTGGGGCCACAAAATCATCAGAACTAGGACCATGTCGACACTTCGTACGAAGAGTATGTGTCTTGAATCACTCCCCACAAAGCCAAATGCCCATACGACGATAGGTCGTCTCAGCCTCCAAGAAAATAGCCAAATCAGAAGTAAGAGAGTGCCGGGTCAAATCCCACGCATCTACACAACAATGACGGTCACGGAGATGAATGAGCAGAGAAGCTTTTGCGAGCCCATTACCCCGGCCATCATGACACCCATTAATTCCCACGAATGGGCAATTAAAGTGAACAATAGGAGGCATAACACCCACCAAAACTTGCCACGAGAAGATCACTAAATAGCACAACACGGACTACAACCAGAAACGACCCAAAAATGCACCAAAACTGCACCCAAAAGCACCAATTTCACACCAATACTGCACCCAAAAGTTCCACAAAATCACACCAAAACTGCATCTAAATTCACACCAAAAACACACCAACACTGACCACCTTAAAATTGCACCAAGTGACCAAAAACAACACCTAAAGAAGCACCAAAATCACCTCAAAACTACACCATAATGACCAGAAAACTGCACCCAAATAGAACCCAAAAAGACCACCAAACTGCACCCAAACGGACCACCAAACTGCCCCCAAACTGACCAGAAAACAACACCTAAAACGCGCAAGAAACAGCCCAAAACCAGACCAAAAAATATCAGCAAAACCGACCTAAAGCTCCCTATTAAACCCGATTCTGTTACCTTAAAAGGGACGCCTGAAAACCTGATTAAAAGCGCCTGAGCACCGGTTGAAAACCTGATTAAAAACGCCTGAAATGCAGCCGGAAAATGGATGTGGAATCTACCTGAAAAGCACCCTGAAGTGCACCAAATAAACGCGAAAACCCCCAGAATTCCGCTAGAAAATCGACTGAAGATCGCTTGAAAATCGAGACGCCACCGCTAGCCCTTCGTCTGACCTATAACCACCGGTAATTCGCCGTGAAACGTTGCAGGAAAAATGACGTGGAAGCAGCCTACCCTAATTGCCCCTAAACGAGAGGATTTTGTGTTTTTTATTATTATTTATCTATTTATTTATTTATTTATTTGTTTATTAATTTATTAAAAATATAAAATTTTAATTCTCCTAGTATGTACGTTATGTTTTGTTTTTTTTTCTACTCTAATTTTTTAATTGCCAAAATGCCATGTTTTAATATCTCGTTTTAATTGATTAAAAAATATCATAAATGAATCTTGTTTTGTACAAATTTTTAAAAAGAACTTTATGATATTAATATAAGATACTTTTTGAAAGTTACAATCTATTTTATGCATATGGAAAATTAGAAATCCTATCAGAAATAAAACTCTAAATAACTTATTTATTTAAAAAATCTATCTTAAACTCAACTTTTTTTTATCCTAAAACTATCTTAAATGCTCTTATCTAGCGTCAAAGGTGTCGTATTAAACTTTATATGTCACCTACGTGACACGACACTTGCCGAAAACTTGAAACGCCAAGTGTTGTTGTCTCATGACCAGCCTAAAATTTTACTTTATATATTAGTTAAGTTATATGATATGATATGATATGATCAAGGGCGAAGCCAAGATTTTCAAGTCTTGGGTGCCAGACTTGTTAATGGATAATTGAAAAGGTTAAAATGTACTAATATTTTATTGTTACTAAAAAAATATTTAAATTTTACTCTACTATTTTTCAAAGTGCTATAAAATTTACAGCAATCTCTTTTTCTATGTATATTACCAAAACATCTCTAAGAAAATCATCCTTATTTTGCTCCTTAATTGAGATTTCTATGTATACTACAAAAACCTTTTGGGGTTATCAGTCTCAAGAATTGAAGTAGTAGATTTTTTTGCCCCTCAAAATTTGTATTTTGCTCATTATCATCACTCAAATTACGCTTAGAATTCAAATTTGCTTTTAAAGTCGAACCCTCTTGTTGTTGATTTTAACTTCTTTATATTAAAAAAATCTAGCGTTTTTTATTTCATGATATCAATACAAAAACAATAATTATCAAATTAAATAGCATATAACCCTAAAAGTTTGATATTTCATATTGAATGTAAGCAATTAGCCTAAAGTTCCATTCAATTAACAAAAAATTAGCCAAAATTATTAAATAAAATAAGCTTTATTAGAAAAACCCCAAGCTCGCGTTGAATAAGCAAAACCTTATTCAAAAGATATGTTAGGGATAGGATTCAAACCCAGCTCCCTCATGAAAGAGCATCATTCCATAACCAACATGACAAGCCTTGTTTACTAAAAAATTATGTGTCTTTAATAATATACTTCGTATGTACGTAGTATAATAATTTGAGAGGGCCATTAACATTTAAAACATGGACTACAAATCTAAGCCGGGAAGGCCGGGCCTCCACCAGCCCCTTAGATATGATATGATATGATATGATATGATATAATGTTTGTCTTACCCCCTCCGTGTTTTAATAAGTATTACACTTACCAATTGCGGTCGTGTTTTAATAAGTGTTACATTTCCTTTTTTGGCAAAAAGCTACTTCCTCTATTCGTTTTTACTTGACTTGTCTCTTTTATCACGCTTGTTAATGCAAAACTGTAACGATCAATAAATTTAATTCTCCATAAGTAAAAATTATAAAAGTTATATATTATGATAGTACTTATTGAGACGAATTCAAAAAGATCCCACTTAAGTTTTTTCTTATATATTATTCACAAAAGACGTTCAAAGAAAGGATGGTGTATAGTCTAAAAGTCAAAGCGGATCAAGTAAAAAAGAACGGAGGAAGTACGTTTCAATATTATATCTTTCTCCTCTCATGATCCCCACCCGACCCCCCCCCCCCCACTACTTATTTTTTATTATTTCTTTCCTTTCACATTCATTACTTTTCAATAAACTATTAACTCCAGTATCTTTCTAATACAATTTTTTAGTACTTCAAACATACCCACTTACTTCTTATTTTATTTAAGTCAATTAAATTGCCTAAGACTATGTGCAGGTCAAAGTGTAACACTTATTAAAACACGGAAGGAGTATTTGATATCTAAACAATTTTTAATACAATATTGTAATTTAAATATCTCAATCCTTCCAAAAAAAAAAATTAAATATAAAAGTTAAATATATCATACTACGAATTACCATAAATTATAAAATTGTACAGTACGAGTTTATATGGAAATTAAAATAAGGAAAATGCTACACATAGCCCTTATGGCTACATATAAGAAGCTAAAATTGGAAAAAAAAAAACAAATGAAAATATAATATTAATTACACTGATTTACGCGTGATTTTGTCATGCATTTCTAAATTAATTCTAAATAAGGAAAGTTAATAAATGCTTATTCATAACCCTAGCTAAGGACTACATATGACATTACCCTAATAAAGACAAATCCCACCTGACAAAACTATGTTTTGAAAGTATAAGAAAATCGTTATCAGTATTTATTAGGTGTCATTTTGCTTTGAAATTTAAAATCTCCCAATACTTCAGATGCATAAGACAAACAAAAGAAATTAAATAAATTGGGGGGAGTACAATAGGTTATCGGCTGAGGTTAAATGTACCGTTATCCCTAATATGTCTATTTATACTACTATATATGTACCCTTAGTTTGCTTGTTAGCTATTGTAGGTTTATTTTTATTTTTTTTGATAATCAGCTATTGTAGGTTTATTGAGTAGAGAAAAATGAAACCAAACCAAATGTCAAAAGAAGAGGCAAAAGAGCTATTAGATGCAGTAACACATATATCAAACCAAAATATAGCTTACCTGAATTCCATGGCCCTGAAGTGTGCTGTTCAACTAAGCATCCCAGAAGCCATTCACAAACACAGCAAGGCCGTGACTATCGATGAACTCGCCAAAGCTCTTTCAATCCATCCTACCAAGGCTCCATCCCTACATCAGTTGATGCGTCTTCTTGTTCACTCCAAATTCTTCGCAACCAAAACATTGGTCGATAATGGAAACCAAACATTATTATATTTTGATCTTACCCTAAACTCGCAACTTCTTTTGAAAGATCATCCTCTAACTCAAGCACCTTTAACTATTATGCGAACCGATCCACTAATAACTAAGCCGTCACATAATCTTGCTACATGGTTTCAAAGTCAAGATATTGAGGTTTCTGAGTCCCCTTTCCACGTTACTTATTGTAGACATTTATACGAAGATGCGCCTAGTGATGCCAAATTTAATGAGTTATTTCAACAAGCTATGACAAGCGATTCTCAATTGATCGCTCGTGTGCTGTTGACTAGTAACGAGTTCAAGTGCGCAATGCAAGGTGTTGAGTCGTTGGTTGACGTTGGTGGAGGTGATGGTACTATGGCTAAGGCTATTGCCGAGGCCTATCCTGAGGTCGAATGTACCGTGTTCGACTTACCAAACGTAGTCCAAGGGATACAACGAAACGAGAAGGTAGGGAACTTGACATTTGTTGCAGGTGACATGTTTGAAGCTATTCCTCATGCTCAAGTCGTCTTACTCAAGGTAAATTACACTAATACTTCAATTGCTTCATTACTTTGGTGTTTTAGTAAACCTCTAATGCTCATCCCCTTTTTATTTTTCTAATATCCATTAAAATCTTGATAGATTATAAACAATAGTCACACGATATCTTATAAAATTTGTCTTGATTTTTTGTTTCAAAACATTAAAATTAATAAATTATGCAATACAAATATTGATATATTGTTATTACAATATTGGAATGGTAAACTTATATAGTGTTGCCTACTTTAATATGGTATTTTGCTAATTAATTCCTTATGATTTTACATTGTAGTGGATATTGCACAATTGGAGCGACGAGAATTGCATAAAGGTGCTTAAGCGATGTAAAGAAGCAATTCCAAGTAGGGACAAAGGTGGCAAGTTGTTGATCATAGATATGGTGGTTGGAATTCCAAGTGACAATTTAAACCAATTTTTCACAGATGTGCACATGATGTCTCTTTTGGGAGGAAAAGAAAGAACTGAACAACAATGGAAATATCTTTTCATCAATGCCGGCTTTAGTGACTATAATATTTTTCCAATTTTAGGGCCGAGATCTGTCATTGAAGTGTATCCTACATAATTTTAATTATTTCAATATAAATTTTTATTTTTTGGTGTTTAAAGAGCCACAAAGGCAAGTGATAAAAATCGATTTCAAGATCAGCTAAAACCGAGAAGAGAGCTCTAACCACTTGAGTTATATATCTCTCACTCTCAATTATTCCAATATTAGTTGTTTATATCATATTTTCCTCATTCAGTTTTAGTTGCAACATTTTGTTCTTAAATAAAAGCTCTCATATGACACTTGAAAAGATAAGAGTTATTAAACGTTTTCCTTCTTTTTTTAATTTTTAATATTTTATTTTTTATGGAGTACTGTTTAAACGTCATTCTTTTAACCAGCTTCCTTTGTGGACTAGTGGTAACAGAACGAACCCTCTAAAGTCTAGGTCCAGGGATCAAGCATTGGTATCGCCCTCTCTTTCTCTGTTCTCTAGATATATTTCTTTTTAAAAAAAAAAAAAAAATTCAAACATCATACTTCCGTCGTTCTAGTAATATTGCAACAATTGGACTTTTACATTATTCATTATGCTTGTTTGACCACATGTTATGATTTATACGTAAAGTAAAATATAATCATGTAGGGTCTTGGTAGATTCGTCTCGTAAAATACTTTCACAATATCAACTTTTTATAATTTTTACTCTTATATAATTATAGATATTTAGCATATAAAATATGCTTTGAGATACGTAATTTTATCGTTGTTGTAATATTTAAAACAGAGGAAATAACAAATAATAAGGAGTAGAGGAAGGATTTAGGGTCAAATGAAAACTTCCTTAAAATTGAGAAGAATTTAATGTGCATAATTTTTATACAATCAATTTAACAGTCAAATTTTGTTTGCAGGTGATTGAAGATGATCTTCAATCATAAGACAGACAATTAACTTCATTTATTATCATCAAAATAATATTAACTTCATTTATTTTCATCTATTACTATATTATATGGTGGATTCTGAATTGTGTATATATGCATACTATGACCCACCCACCATGCGCATAAATAATTTTGTCAATGGCCGTGAGAATGATTTTTGTCTGATGGATCTTATTGTATTTGAGAATGGACAAACTTTGCAATCCCACATAATTACTATTACAACCCTTAAAAATAAAAAAATCACACATAAGCTTTGTCTTTTGAGAGAAAGAATAACTCCTTTTAGAAAAGAAAGAGTTACAAAACATTACAAAAATAAAAATCACACATGAAATAAACAAAGATTATGATTTTCCATCGGTTAAACCGATGAAAGTCCCTTTAAAATTCAACGATACCAACTAGAATTTCAGGGAGAGGAAAGCGCATGCCTCTGATTTATTTGGAGTAGTTGATAGTACGTACTACGTAGTATATACTTCGTATACAATTTTATTTCATTCATGCAAATTAGAATCGAAATTTTTTGCTACCAGGCAAAGTTGATTCTTCTTATGTGTGACCAGACCAGGTAGCACATTGCTGTCAATATCTTCCTTCTTTAAACCAGCAGGTAATTCCCAATCAAAAGAGTATAACAAATTGGCAAGTGCAAGTTCAAGGTTGGCTAAACCAAAAGCAAAGGCTGGGCACATTCTTCTTCCACCCCCAAAAGGAATCATTGCCATACTTTTTTGACAAACTCTTCTTGTACTCTTTCCATTGGAATGAGGTTTTTCACTAACTCAGTAAGTGTCCAAATTATCCCAGCCCTAGTGGTATTTGCTCCCCCGGAAAAAAGATTCTACAAATAAAAATGAAAAAACAATTAATAATTAAATTAATTAGAAAAAGGCTGTAGGAATTGAATCTACAAATAATAAAGAAGTATCATTGCGTACGTGCATCAAGTAGTCATATGCTTGTACATTCAACTTAATTAGTTGACGGTGTTTGTTGAAATTCGATTTAAGATAAGGAGTGCAAAATTTCAATTGTTGCAATATATAATAATAAATTAAAGTACAAATGAAGTACAAAATAGGCGGTTTTTAGGAGTCTAGATTTGTTAGTGGCTTAATGCAGCGCATGTCATTAGTGGTCAAATTAATAAATGTAGTACAAATTATATATCCGTTTTGTGCTTTGTTTGTACAAATATGCTATTTTTTGGGTAAAAAGAAGTCCATATGTTGCAACTAGGGTAAATAAATGACGATCCTTCACGCAAGGAATGAGAATCAAACCTCTGTTACAGGGGTGGAAGAATGAAGGGTTACAAGACTTACAACCACTACGGATGAAAGGAAGAACTATACGACATGCAAAATTGCTTGATCAACTATGTGAAGAGTATGTGAAGCGTATTTTCCTCAATGACTTAAAAACGAATTGATCAACTATATATTAAATTATAATGTACGTACTGAGAAATATATTTTTTCTAGTGTTAAGAATGATGATATAATAGATGGTTTTTAAAACAAGAAAATGCATTGAGTTCATCATTAATCTTTAAAAGTGTGCACATCTAAATTATTTTCATCTTAATCATTTAATTATGCAACTCCGAACCCATGGAAAATTTCCTAGATCCGCCACTTATTGAGAATCCCTTATGAAACAAGATTTGAACCCTTAACTTGAAGTTTTATATGTACTTGAATATATATTTCATTCATTTGTTAACACATTTTGACTTTTGGCATTATTAACAAACTCTTTAATGATAAAAAACAAAGGGACATGAGAGTAATTAAGATCTTGCATGTTAGAATCGTCTTGATATGTTTCTACATAATATCAACTCTAATCATTAGATTCATTAATCGTTGAACTTGTGCGTTTGGAAAAAAAAAATACCAGTAATATTGCTTTGATGTGGTTCATTGTGAGCTTAAACCGAAAGGAAGTATCTTCCATGAGACGAAGCAAAACATCAACTATATCTTGTCACTCAGATTTAGTCTTTACTGTGTGAAGATGGTCGTCAATGATTTTTTCATAAATTGCGTCTGTTTGCGTCCAATTTCACCTCAATTGGACCGGTCCACAAATGATACAATTTGAAGCCCAAAGCAAGGTTCAACCCTCCAACTCATGCCAAGTCAGCCAAGCCCAGTCAATGGCAAGCCCATATGATCTGGGGCCCATCTAAATCAAGGTATAAAAGCCTCCAAGTAAGTCAAAGCAAGATAATGAATTCATTCTCATTCCAACTCTTACACTCTTAGTACTCTTGGGCATTACTCTACCTTAAACACATTACTGATTCGGCATCGGAGGGGCCTTCCTCGGCACAAACCCCCGAGGCCAGTTTACGTGTGTTCTTTGTGTAGGAAATCCTCAGCCAGCCGCAACTAGGACCGAGACCAGTCTTCTCCCCCGAAAAAGGCTTGCCGAAGGTCCTATTGTTTTCATACCGAAACAATTTGGCGCCGTCTGTGGAAGATACAAAAAATTAAACTAAAAATCAATCACTCTTAACAAAAACATGACTAAGAGTGGTAAAAGCGCCAATAGTGCTAAGAAGAATGGTCCTTCCTCTTCGAGGAGAGACCACATCACGGTGAGAGTGAATCAACCGATTCCACCATCATCAGAACCTTCTTCTTACTCTTCCTCTTCAAAATCTCCCTCTTCTCCGAAAAGGGTAGCCTCGTAGAGGTCTCCATCGCAGCATATTCGCCAGTTGACAAGTTCGTCTGGGCCAAATCAATTGAACGTGAAGAGTCCTCCTCCTCAAAGCTTTATTCTCAGTCTCAATCGAGAACAAGGAAAAGTCGCAAGGCAATCCAGACATTCTTGTCATCTCTAAAGGAATTAGTTCTCAAGAAGAACAGAATCTGCAAATTCTGTAACCAAGGAACGAATCAATGCAAGACCTCCCAAAATTGGGGATCTGGTTCTTTGGAATGCTGATGTACTGAAAAATTATGTGTATGCCCTTCGGGGAAGAACAATCCATGTAAGTGCATCTCTTTCAATCAATGAAAAGCCCGCGAGCCATTATTTCTTTTAATTCAACAAGTTTCTATTTTTCCGTCTTCTACATTTTTTCAATTCAAGGTCTTCTTTGGCGCTGCCCGAAGTACCGCCTAGTGAGGTGTCGTACTTCGACAATTCGTGAGAGCCTTTTGAGACGAGGATAAATGATAAACCCCCAAAGTATTGCTTAGTGAAGCATTGTACTTCGGATGAATCAGTTCCTCCGGGCAAAGAGGCGTGGACGAATTTGAAGCATTGCCTAAAAAATAGGAATTGATAAACCCCTAAAGTATTGCCTAATGAAGCATTGTACTTCAGAGGAGTCAGTTCCGGGTGTTGATAAAATCCCGAAGTATTGCCTAATGAAGCATTCTACTTCGGACGAATCAATGCCCTGGCATAAATGTTGAGGACAAGATTCCCTTGGATGAATTATAAGGATCACAAGAGTATTGCTTTCGGAGCCTACGGATTCTGAGCAAGAAATCAGACCCTTCAAAAACGAAAGTAGAAGAGAAACGAAAATGAGCAGAAACTTCAAAGTCTAAATTGTGACGAAAATTTACACCAAGGCAAAACTCTCGGCTGCATCAAAAGAAGAGCTAAATCAAGCACCTCAAAAAAAACCTGAAGATCTCATCTAGAGAGCGTAAAAAGGCATTCAGCTAGCCAGTGCCGAGCCGAAGCTTAGTACTTGGCAAAATTTTCTTTCGAAAAAAAAGCTAAGTAAAAGAAGCAAGGCAAAAAGGAATGACAACGAAAAGTAGTGCACTCATAGAAAATAAAATATGCTCGGCTGAGTTGAAATGGTTGAAGCAAATACTCCAGAAACCTAGAGACATCAACTTCAGATATCTCTGGGAAACTAAGAAGTCCTCAGCCGAAGATATCTCCAAGCCAAAGTTCAACACTTCGAAATATTCTGAAGAAATTCAAAAAAGTAACTCAGTAAAGAAGGGACAAGGCAATAGAGGAGAAAAGCTAGAAAAAGCCTCGAATACATTCAAGTTGAGATTTCAGAATCAAGTACAATGAAATCCTAAAATCGGCAACCACCCACAAGCGGAAACACAGCTGCCGAACTAAGTACAAAGCAAACAAAAATAAAAAGTTTGTACAAATTCAAGGTAAGCTGAAAGTAAAACAGAGGCAAAAGCAGATGCGACAATAATCAATTAAGCACAAGTTGATCCGCAGGATTCTGTAGACAACTGCCCGAGTTCTTATGCTTTAGCATTGGCAGGATTAGCGCTCGGGGCCTTGGAGGCAGGCCGAGCAACATCTTGTTCTTTCCTTGCAGCCTCTTCTTCTTCCTAAGCCTCGCCTTTGGCTTCACAAGCCAAGAAAGCAACTTCAACTAGGCTGGCCTCATTCATATGACATCATCTAGATCCATAGACCAAGCCTCAGCAAAATCCCAGTTAATCTCGGGATCAGCCTAGAAAGCCAACCGCCGAGCAACTTTGAAGTCATTCTCAAAGCCCTCTTCATACTGCTCTTGGGTATAAACCCGAACTTCTAGCAGTTGTCGAGCAGCTTCAAGTTCAGCTTGGATTTTGGAA